CCCTGTAATAACTGGCATTGAGCCCTCACTCACTAAAGCAGAAAAAAATTAAACCTTCAAGATAAATTAGGTTTCCCTTGAATACACAGGACTGTGAAGTCTCTTTTCCAATGCAGTTATTATTAATACATAAGTGAGAACTAATTTAAACCTTGACAGGGTGATCAACACCCTGATGGAGTTTATTTTGCGATAATGTCTGACTGAACATTCTCAGCTTAATATATGGCTACTTAGCAAATAAATAAATACATGGACATGAAATATTGATGAGTTTTGAGTTACTGAACATTTGTGGGGGGAAAAAACTGATTGCTGAATGTCCAAAGACAGTGAACAAAATCTCAGCTTTGAATAACAATCAGCCTGAGTGGTGCTTATTTTATGATAATGACTATTTATTATGAAACTTATTTTGAATTATGAAACTATTTAAATGAACTGAGATAATAATGAACTATATTAGAATTATTAGCATAATTATAAAGACTGTGGAAAGACAGAACATGAGCACAGCTACACTATTGCTAAAAAGTTTGCAGTCAGTATTTTTTTCCAATTAATACTTTTATTCAGTAAGAATGCACTAAATTGATATGACATTAAAGACTTGTTACAAAAATGTTCAATTTCAAATAAATGCAGTTTTTTTACCTAATGTGGATTTAAGAATCCTAAAAAAAAACACTATTTTAAACTTTGATAATAAGAAATATTTCTTGAGCACCAAATCAGCATATTTGAATGATTTCAGAAAGATCATGTGACAATGAAGATTGGCGTAATGATACTAAAAATTCAACCTTGCTATCACAGGAATAAATCACATTTAAACAAAAATATTCCAGTAGAAAACAGCAATTTTAAATGGTAATAACATTTCACAATACTGCTCTGTATTTTTATAATCAGTATGAGTTTAAAAGACTTTTCAAAAACGTTAAAGAAATCGTATCGACCCCAGACTTTTGGATGGTAGTGTACATAGCAATATAGGATCTGTTTCCTGCAGTTATACAGTGCTGTCCTTGACTGCAATAATTATTTATTAATATCTGACCCCTAAATGCTGCAAATGACCAATCAGAATCAAGCATTCCACCGAGCTGTCAAATAAGATAAGTGTAATTTACTGGTGTTCTAAAAAACACACTCATTTATTTATTTGTCATGTGTGCAGTTCGTGTACATCCTATAGCAACACAACAAAAAGCAAGCTATGACTAAATGATTAAAGATCAACCTTTAAAGTGTACAGCTGCCTTAGCCATTACTAACACACCAAGACACAAGAGTAATCTCCTTTCAATGTTACTAGCACCAGTGCACAAATTCTAAATGGGGATCATGATCCCTGCGCCGAATATATATACAAATGTTTTGTCTGTTGACTCAGAATTGTGTGAGAATGGTGCTCTGTGCTTTTCTGTTAAACATATTTCAGAACATAGTACCTCAGGGAGACGCAATAGTTCTGACCGTCTGTAAGCCAATTCTAAAAGTGATTAAAATATAGACATAACAAATCCCAAGAGGCAGAAAAAGCATCAAGTATTTCAGCAGGGACTACTGACATTTTCACAGCATTTAAACTGGAGGGGTTGTTAGAGAGACGGAGCTGCAGGAATGGGGTGATGAACGAGGTGGATGATGTACAGAGAGGTTACAACTGTTATTTTCTCTCAAGAGACGTGAGTCATTATCTCCACCAGCGCCTGAGAGAGATGATTATTCACGGCTGATCGCAGGACTGTCTGGAGAGGATCACAGAACATTCAGAGCTGAACTTGGCTGGAAATGTGCGATAGGTCAGGAATATTATAACAAGGCATTGAACATTTGTGTAGAACTTTAGCTGTATGTTACAGGGTATCTACAGTTTTTTTTTCAAATCAAATGTATAGACATGTTAATAGTTCAGACAATTTTACAAGTGATTAAAATATAGACATAACAGCAAATCCCAAGAGGCAGAGAAAGCATCAAGTATTTCAGCAGGGACTACTGACATTTTCACAGCATTTAAACTGGAGGGGTTGTTAGAGAGACGGAGCTGCAGGAATGGGGTGATGAACGAGGTGGATGATGTACAGAGAGGTTACAACTGTTATTTTCTCTCAAGAGACGTGAGTCATTATCTCCACCAGCGCCTGAGAGAGATGATTATTCACGGCTGATCGCAGGACTGTCTGGAGAGGATCACAGAACATTCAGAGCTGAACTTGGCTGGAAATGTGCGATAGGTCAGGAATATTATAACAAGGCATTGAACATTTGTGTAGAACTTTAGCTGTATGTTACACGGTATCTACAGTTTTTTTTCAAATTAAATGTATAGACATGTTAAGACCTGAAATTTAAAACCACAATTAATACCATATGTTCATACAGAACAAACTCATACAATGTCAAAATAAGTCACGCATCTCAGACTCTTTGACTTGTTGAATCCGTGCAACATTGTGTGAGAATGGTGCTCTGTGCTTTTCTGTTAAACATATTTCAGAACATAGTACCTCAGGGAGACGCAATAGTTCTGACCGTCTGTAAGCCAATTCTAAAAGTGATTAAAATATAGACATAACAACAAATCCCAAGAGGCAGAAAAAGCATCAAGTATTTCAACAGGGACTACTGACATTTTCACAGCATTTAAACTGGAGGGGTTGTTAGAGAGACGGAGCTGCAGGAATGGGGTGATGAACGAGGTGGATGATGTACAGAGAGGTTACAACTGTTATTTTCTCTCAAGAGACGTGAGTCATTATCTCCACCAGCGCCTGAGAGAGATGATTATTCACGGCTGATCGCAGGACTGTCTGGAGAGGATCACAGAACATTCAGAGCTGAACTTGGCTGGAAATGTGCGATAGGTCAGGAATATTATAACAAGGCATTGAACATTTGTGTAGAACTTTAGCTGTATGTTACAGGGTATCTACAGTTTTTTTTTCAAATCAAATGTATAGACATGTTAAGACCTGAAATTTAAAACCACAATTAATACCATATGTTCATACAGAACAAACTCATACAATGTCAAAATAAGTCACGCATCTCAGACTCTTTGACTTGTTGAATCTGTGCAACAGCCTGTTTAATCAAGGACTTAATACTTATCAGCAAAATGAGTTTAAAATGGGGGGGAAGTCGTGGCCTAATGGTTAGAGAGTCGGACTCGTAACCCAAAGGTTGCGGGTTCGAGTCTCGTACCGGCAGGGATTGTAGGTGGGGGGAGTGAATGTACAGCGCTCTCTCCCACCTTCAATACC